ATTTTACACTTTTCAATGCCTACCTAACCCAGCANTCGCCTCACCCGCGAGTAAGGAACTTTTACTGTATTGACTTCCGCGACTGTCCTTACATGTAGCGCTGGGTTTGCCAACAGGCCGTATAGGCCATGACCTATGGGTGGCACACTCTAGAATCACAGGGAAAGATCTATCCCTTATGCAACATTATCCCAACGATTTTGATGTCGATTTTGTCATTTTTAATGTCACATTTTCTTTAAAAAAGACTACACAGAAGCTCGAATTAATATTATTATCCTTACTTTATCTTTTCAAGTTCCAACATTTGCGCAAGTTTTACCGACCCGAAGTTAAATTGAACTTTTCTCTCCGGTTACAAACTATCTTGGAGTAAGGAGCTTTCCTTGTTTAAAAGGAGTGAAAAGAAAATCATATTACGTGTTCATTATCTTAAAATAACACTTTGACTCTTAAACCATAGATTGTTTTGTCAATACCTAAACTGTAAAGTCCAATTCCTGTTTCATTTTACACTTTTCAATGCCTACTTAACCCAGCAACTTAATCTGTAAAATTCTAAATTTTTTTTTTCTCTAATAAAGATGAAGACCTAGGTAAATAGATATCAGTGAGTGATTATTAATAAGATTGGTAGGAAGGAGGGAGGAGCGCCACAAGGTGAAGTTATTTACACTCAAGAAAATCTGCCATGTTTATATGGTTCAGTTTGTTTAGATGAAAAAGAGACCACAATAATCATTTCATTATATGCCTTTTCACCCATGAACGAGGGCTAGGCTACACTAAGCCACCTAGCGGCATGGTCTACACGTCTACAGGTTTGGACCATTCCTTAGCAATCGGCAGGACACCGGTTCTTTTCCGGGTCAGTCTTCTCTCATCTAAGATTTTCGGTGGTTTTCTTAAATCATTTAGTTTTGTTTTATAGTGAAAGAGGACCTCCTCGTTAGTTTGTATGTAATGCTAAGACCCAAAGGTTTAGGTTAGGTAAAGATGGAAAAGGTTTTCCTGACTGGCATGTATGTAATGTTATTCACCAAAGGTAAGGGTATGCTGTGATATGGGCTATGATATCGTTATGATTAAAATATAAATGCTTTACATCATCGACATCGGTAACCATGATTTCAAATTTGGATTTATATTTAACAATGACCTATCATCATTCGATAAATAAATATGGTTAAGTAGTAACTTCTTTTAACATTGGTTCAATCCCTTTTTTGATTGTTTTCATGAAAAGAAGTATTTTCAAAATCGGGCTTTTAAAGAAATTTTTAAAACTTCAAAACCTGCAGGAAGTATGGCTTTAGCGGTTAATACTATTATGCTTTCGGTTAAACAGTTTCTTTATTGTTTTTATTCTGTAAATAACAGTAAATACCTACTTGATAATACGACCGGAAAATTTTCACAATTTTGACGTTGTCATGCTATTTATGTATGTACATTTTACATGTATTGATAACAATCAATTGATATTTTAATTACTGTTTGAGGAAATAAAAAAGCACGATAATTAACAACAATTACCATTAGCAACTTGTATAGTTTTTAGATTACAAAAAAACAGAAATATACCTTAATATAGATATTCTTAACCGAAAAGACATACCTTGGTAATGTTGAGAATAAATAATCTGCTACAGAAAACAAAACTAAATTTCAGAAGTTACTTTTAGAACATGTTTTCTTTAAACAAATGTTAAACCGCGTGGTATACTGTTCACAACTTCAACTACGCAATGCAACTTTTCCGTTTTTGTTACTACGAACTACTCACAAAAAGTACTTTTATACCATTTATGGTTTCATCAGGTAACTAAATCTACAATGCCACATCACCATCGGAAAACACAAATTTTTACTTGTTTTGGAATAAGAAAACTGGTCGTAACTCGAACTTGCTAATAAGTAGAATAACAGGTAAGCACTAACTAACAACAAAAAGAATAACCGTCGACGGTCTCTCTAAGATGTAATAATGGACAAAGATCGTTTTCATCGAGTCATTTAACCTTGATTATACTTAAACGAGTTGTGTAACTACGTAGGTAGGCTGGCACATACCTAGGTATATTTACCTATGTATATTAATTAATGAATGATTTTGCGTTAAGAAGCTGAATGGACAACAGGCTGGAACTAAATTACACTGCTTTAGATTAGGGCTCATTCTAGGGATTATTAGCTACTTCATGTAGTTCCGGTTCTAAGTAAGGATGGGCCGGGTACCCGGTTTGGATCTGATCCACGGCTGATACAGCACTTTTTTTTAGGATCCGGTCGAGTACCAGATAATGACGCTGGATAATTCTACCACAGAAAAAAGAAACTACCAACACCAAAAATAATAATTTAATAAGTATAACAAAAACTTATCTAATGAAAATCGGTAATTAAGATTGTATTGGGATAAGTAGTTTGTCCTAATTTGTATTGTCTATTGATTACTGTACTAAAGTATTTGTTATTTCGATAATAGTTTATGTACGTATTTTTCTCGAAAACCAGAAAACACTTGTTGGTATATTAGGTTTTGATTAACAATAACTTATTAGTATTTTTGTCACCTTGCAGACTTAGTATTTCAACTGTTAAAAATTCGGCAACCAACAACTTTGGTTTAATGTATAAACGACTTAATTGTGGTTTGGGACGATGGTGAGGGTGGTATTTAGTGAAAAGCCCGTCCGAACGAAGAACCGGTTATAAGGTACTGAGCAAAAGCACTATCGGGTGCATATCTCTAATTCTAAGTGAAAAAATTAAAAAGAAAGTGAAAGTGAAGCGAGGTCCAGGTGTAACAATAAAATATGAAGAGCCTCCTCCCTAAAAGTTGCTTGTTTCCTAAGACTGATTTGACACGCACCTCCACTCCTTCCTATCCTAAGCTAATCTTCGCATTTCCCTAAAACTAGAACATCCCATATCCTTAACTATTTGCGAACAGTAATCTACTATTGGTCTACCTCTNGTTTGTTCTACTTAAAATTTAGATCAATATTGGGCTGTAGCATTAATAATTTGTTTTAGTTTGATATTAGGTTACATCTTTTATAAAAGTCGCCTCACCCGCGAGTAAGGAACTTTTACTGTATTGACTTCCGCGACTGTCCTTACATGTAGCGCTGGGTTTGCCAACAGGCCGTATAGGCCATAACCTAGGGGTGGCACACTCTAGAATCACAGGGAAAGATCTATCCCTTATGCAACATTATCCCAACGATTTTGATGTCGCTCGAATCAGTATCATTATCCTTACATTATCTTTACTTATTTTTCAAGATCCAACATTTGCGCAAGTTTTACCGACCCCAAGTTAAATTGAACTTTGCTCTCAGGTCACAAACTGTCCTGAAGAAAGGAGCTTTCCTTGTTTAAAGGAGTGAGAAAAAAATCATATTACGTGTTCATTATCTCAAGAGAAACTTAACTCTTTGACTCTTGTATTGATAAAGGAAGAGTTAGAGGATAACATAAACCATAGATTGTTTTGTGAATACCTAAAATGTAAAAAGTCCAATTCCTGTTTCATTTTACACTTTTCAATGCCTACCTAACCCAGCAACTTAATCTGTAAAATTCTAAATTTTTTTTTTCTCTAATAAAGATGAAGACCTAGGTAAGTAGATATCAGTGAGTGATTATTAATAAGATTGGTAGGAAGGAGGGAGGAGCGCCACAAGGTGAAGTTATTTACACTCAAGAAAATCTGCCATGTTTATATGGTTCAGTTTGTTTATGTAAAAGAGACCACAATAATCATTTCATTATATGCCTTTTCACCCATGAACGAGGGCTAGGCTACACTAAGCCACCTAGCGGCATGGTCTACACGTCTACAGGTTTGGACCATTCCTTAGCAATCGGCAGGACACCGGTTCTTTTCCGGGTCCGTCTTCTCTCATCTAAGATTTTCTGTGGTTTTCTTGAATCATTTAGTGTTTTTTTATAGTGAAAGAGGACCTCCTCGTTAGTTTGTATGTAATGCTAAGACCCAAAGGTTTAGGTTAGGTAAAGATGGAAAAGGTTTTCCTGACTGGCATGTATGTAATGTTATTCACCAAATGTTAGGGTAAGCTGTGATATGGGCTATAATATCGTTATGATTAAAATATAAATGCTTTACATCATCGACATCGGTAACCATGTATTCAAATTTGGATTTATATTTAACAATGACCTATCATCATTGAATAAATAAATATGGTTTGCTACTTCTTTTCACATTGGTTAAATCCCTGTTTTAATTGTTTTCATGAAAAGAAGTATTTTCAAAATCGGGCTTTTAAAGAAATTTTTAAAACTTCAAAACCTGCAGGAAGTATGGCTTTAGCGGTTAATACTATTATGCTTTCGGTTAAACAGTTTCTTTATTGTTTTTATTCTGTAAATAATAGTAAATACCTACTTGATAATACGACCGGAAAATTTTCACAATTTTGACGTTGTCATGCTATTTATGTATGTACATTTTACATGTATTGATAACAATCAATTGATATTTTAATTACTGTTTGAGGAAATAAAAAAGCACGATAATTAACAACAATTACCATTAGGTATCTTTATTGTTTTTATTCTGTAAATAACAGTAAATACCTACTTGATAATACGACCGGAAAATTTTCACAATTTTGACGTTGTCATGCTATTTGTGTATGTACATTTTACATGTATTGATAACAATTAATTGATATTTTAATTACTGTTTGAGGAAATAAAAAAGCACGATAATTAACAACAATTACCATTAGCAACTTGTATAGTTTTTAGATTACAAAAAAACAGAAATATACCTTAATATAGATATTCTTAACCGAAAAGACATACCTTGGTAATGTTGAGAATAAATAATCTGCTACAGAAAACAAAACTAAATTTCAGAAGTTACTTTTAGAACATGTTTTCTTTAAACAAATGTTAAACCGCGTNAGATTACAAAAAAACAGAAATATACCTTAATATAGATATTCTTAACCGAAAAGACATACCTTGGTAATGTTGAGAATAAATAATCTGCTACAGAAAACAAAACTAAATTTCAGAAGTTACTTTTAGAACATGTTTTCTTTAAACAAATGTTAAACCGCGTGGTATACTGTTCACAACTTCAACTACGCAATGCAACTTTTCCGTTTTTGTTACTACGAACTACTCACAAAAAGTACTTTTATACCATTTATGGTTTCATCAGGTAACTAAATCTACAATGCCACATCACCATCGGAAAACACAAATTTTTACTTGTTTTGGAATAAGAAAACTGGTCGTAACTCGAACTTGCTAATAAGTAGAATAACAGGTAAGCACTAACTAACAACAAAAAGAATAACCGTCGACGGTCTCTCTAAGATGTAATAATGGACAAAGATCGTTTTCATCGAGTCATTTAACCTTGATTATACTTAAACGAGTTGTGTAACTACGTAGGTAGGCTGGCACATACCTAGGTATATTTACCTATGTATATTAATTAATGAATGATTTTGCGTTAAGAAGCTGAATGGACAACAGGCTGGAACTAAATTACACTGCTTTAGATTAGGGCTCATTCTAGGGATTATTAGCTACTTCATGTAGTTCCGGTTCTAAGTAAGGATGGGCCGGGTACCCGGTTTGGATCTGATCCACGGCTGATACAGCACTTTTTTTTAGGATCCGGTCGAGTACCAGATAATGACGCTGGATAATTCTACCACAGGAAAAAGAAACTACCAACACCAACAATAATAATTTAATAAGTATAACAAAAACTTATCTAATGAAAATTGGTAATTAAGATTGTATTGGTAAAGGTAGTTTGTCCTAATTGGTATTGTTTATTGATTACTATACTAAAGTATTTGCTATTTCGATAATATATAGTTTATGTACGTATTTTTTCTCGAAAACAAAAGACCGCTTGTTGGTATATCAGGTTTTGATTAACAATAACTTATTAGTATTTTTGTCACCTTGCAGACTTAGTATTTCAACTGTTAAAAATTCGGCAACCAACAACTTTGGTTTAATGTATAAACGACTTAATTGTGGTTTGGGACGATGGTGAGGGTGGTATTTAGTGAAAAGCCCGTCCGAACGAAGAACCGGTTATAAGGTACTGAGCAAAAGCACTATCGGGTGCATATCTCTAATTCTAAGTGAAAAAATTAAAAAGAAAGTGAAAGTGAAGCGAGGTCCAGGTGTAACAATAAAATATGAAGAGCCTCCTCCCTAAAAGTTGCTTGTTTCCTAAGACTGATTTGACACGCACCTCCACTCCTTCCTATCCTAAGCTAATCTTCGCATTTCCCTAAAACTAGAACATCCCATATCCTTAACTATTTGCGAACAGTAATCTACTATAGGTCTACCTCTACTTCTCTTAACTTCTGTTTCTGCCCCTAATATATCTCACTAGACCAGACCTTCATGCCTAAGAAGATCTCCCACCAACCTATCTCGCCTATTTCTTGCCTTCCATACAGTCCTCTGTTCTCCTATTCTTTCTAGTACTTCTTCATTTTTAATCTTCTCCATCCAAGAAAAAAGAGATCATTGAGGTTTAATCGTCCCTCAAATTTAAGCGCCATGGGCAGTAGAAAACAGCAACATTTAATCAAAAGTTATTACAATAGAGAAGGTACGTCTCCATTTCATATGAAGTCCGGAATTAGGCCGACAATCAAATTATCATAATAGTTGAATATTCCCCATTCTTATTAAACACAAATTAAATGTTACTTATGGCTAGATATCTCATAAATATATTCCACAATAAACAATACACCTATAGCATCACGACCAAATAATGAATCGAGGTTGAGGTCAGACTAACATTGGAATTTATTTGTCTGCAATATTACGTGAAACTTTTCGCTAAAGTAAAAAGTTTGATAAAAGTTGTATAGTTTTCGCCACACCAGCACGTTTATGTGCATGCAAGTATGACTGTATGTAGCTTTCGAACGATCTCCGTTTATAAATTGCAAGTCTTACACGAGTATAAAGACAGATTTTTGTTTGGTTGCCAAGTAGTTAGAAGATAGTGCAATTTATTTACGTGTAACAACAGTCAGGAAGATATATACTTTATGAGGGAGATCCTGTAGCCTTTTGCTAATAAAGCGGGCGCTACCGTCGCCAATATAATTCAGTGCGATAGGGGAAAGAAACACGGGGCAATGCCAAGTATTGCAACGCTATTGTACACTATCATGGCCTCATATCACAAGTAAAAACTGTTCTCTTGTTTGACCTATTTTAAAAATAATAAATTAACATCCTTGTACACTGAGATGATCGCTTTGTTCATCAAACTGTAACATGATAACGTTAAATGGATGTGAATCTTAAGAAGTACCACGAGGTCTAATTTGGAAGTAGCAAGAGTAAAGTCATTAGAGTTATAAAAACGTTTTAATCAAAAACCGAAGAAAAAGAAAGTGATAACCAAAAAAATAAGATTAAAATAAACACTTTTATTGTTAGTAGAGACAGGCTGGGTACTCGGTTTGGATGTGGAGTACCAGATAAAGACAGTGTCGGTAATTCCACTAGGAATAATAATTTAATAACCTACGTAATGAAAATTGGTAATTAACATTGTAATGGGATAGGTTAGGTTTGTCCTAATTTGCAGTATTTATTGATTACTATACTAAAGTATTTGTTATTTCGATATACTGGTTTTCGGTTTATTTTTTCTTGTTAACAAGAATACATTTAGTATGGGCGAAGTGTTATAATTTCTTGCGCTTGTTGGTATATCAGGATTTGATTAACGATAAATTATTAGTATGATTTTGTCACCTTCTAGACTTTTAGTATTTGTGAACATTATAAGTTTCGATTAAACCCTCGAGTAAAAATCCTCTAAACAAGAATTAAAATTTCTATGATTTAGTGTTTAAACTACTTTTTGAACGGGACTTAGTGTGGTTTCGGACATTGATGAGGGTAGTATTTAGTGGAAAACCTGCCAGTATGAAGACATGAATCTTTAACCGTAGTGATTTTGCTGGGTACTCGTCAAACTTTTAGTATTAATAACTGGGCTCCTAAACTAATCGGCCACACACGTCAGGGTAATTGATACCCTATTTTTTTACCTTTAGGGACGGAATTTTTCTTGCAAATTTAATTGCCACCATGTATTTCCTACTCAATAAAAAATAATCATTGAAATCGAACAACCCAGTAACAGAGTAATGAATGTAAAGGTTTTCGGAATGGCCTAGTCGCCAAATAAATGCTATTACTATTATTTTCAAGCGGCTATTTAGTCATTAACATTAACGAGAGATTGTGTGTGGACCAATTGCTCATATTATTCAACGTATGTTTGTTACGCAGCATACAAAGATAGTTACGACTTACGTTCTACCCATTTGATTGTATGTATTAGTAAAGGTGACGTACCTTACATTGTATTTTCTGTATTACAAGTTGCAAGTCAGTTTAATCTGCTCGTACTATACGTATGTATACTTGTGTTTTCGGTAATGTGTAAGATTTGATAGGAATGTTATTTCATTATCATTATTCAAATTTGTTCACCCAGGTCTCCTTCGGTAATCGAGGTGTAAACAGATGGATAGAAGTAGGCACACCTGAAGCACACACGCGGATGCATAACACCGACGACATCATCGAAGCTTTAGGTCAAGATACATAATACCTACGTTAGACAGAATACAATCGTATTGTGTTTGAATGTTCAGGATTAAAGGTAATATTTGACGTGTCTGTTTGTGTCGTAGTATCCACGTGTAAAGTAGGCTCTCAGCTGCCCTTGATTTATTACACCTGGAGTTGTTTAAAACGCATTTAAATAATATACGGTATGTTAGATAACGTCAACTTAAGAATAATGTTTATTTGCTATCTATTTCCTTATTTTAATACCCATTTCCCTCATTCTGTGGATTTCATTCACTACAGCCAAAAAGGTTTAAATTTCGAAGTCTTATTTGGATTAAGCGGCAAATTGCCTAGAGGTTTATACCATGACTTACATTTGGAGACAAGAAGGATCTTGTAAACAGTTCCACGTTCCAGGCAATATTTGATGGTTAAAATACAAAATTAACCATCATCACCAAACACTATCAAACGCACCACGCAGATATTCACTAATTTGATGTGTCACTTCGTTCATGTTTTTTTTTCATCCTCGCATTTTTCATGTTGTCTTTTTCTAAACATAGTTGACAGAACTGTGGAAGTTTGTCAGTGCAGATTATTACCAATCATTACGTACAATTGACTTGTCTATGTATCAGACGTTGCCAAGGTCACAAATAGGTATGTGTGTTTCGTGGATAAGATAACGCGGGAACTGTTCTTAATCACTGTCCGCTTGTTAACTGGTCTACTTTTTTGTGTACACTTTTTTTATCTCCTACGTTGTTTTGCTTTAGATATAGATTTAGGCGCTAAAATCCTACAAACTTATTTGCATAGCAACAATATTATTATTAAAAACAATTGCCGGCTATAACGCTGCATTGATACGAACACTTCATAAATATAAACGGTTGATAATAATATGTTCACAATGTTACAGAAGGGTTGGTTAAAAGCTGGCGCAGGAACCTGCACAACATTCAATTTTGCAAGTGCAATTTCATTTAAATTGTGTTTTGAAAATGATCAAGTTCAGATAACAGATAAAAGTAACAAATTTTTACAAATTTTTAAAAAGATAAGAAATAAGAATATTTTAATTTCTGATAAGCTTTCGTTATATAAATGCGGAACGAGGTGTATGTATGCGGAACTTCCGTAATTGCAGAAGCGGTAGCAGAGGTCCGTTGCAATACTACTCCACAGTGCCTCCAGATGTTACCTTTCAAATATTCCGGAATACCGATCACATACTGCACATCAGCTGTTTAAATTCCCTGACTTGCCGGTTGTTACAGTTTTTTGATGTAAATTAAACTCAATCTGATATTCCTTCAGTCGTGTCAGTTTTATCAGTTCTTTACTGAAGAATCCTTTATTTGCTAACCTTTTCTTCTTTATATTTAATGCATGAATCCAATCCAATACAAAGTTCAATTCAAACAAGTTTCCCCGATTTCCACCTACTTTTTGCAACTATACCTCTGTCAAAATGATCAAGCAAAACAAAAATAACATAAATAAAAAACGCCAGACTTAATGGCATCGACTAAAAACGAATCAAAATTCAGATGCGTGGGCACTGGGCATATCATGCTCGTGTCGCGTCGTCACGTGGCTTTCTATCGTTGCTCTGGAGCAATAATTGTCGCGGTTGTCTTTTTTTCAGCATGTTAACACGTCATTAACGACTTCCTGCACGGAACGAAGCGTTTTGATTGAAGTTGGCTCGCTGTGAAGC